CCTGTTCTCTTTACTATTTACTACTGCCTTAATTTTTCAGTCCTGCAAACTTTCAGTGATAATTTTGTTTTCTCCCAACTCATTGATAACAGCTGAAGAATGCAGGGCCAAGAACTGATCCCTGCATAGGACACCATTGGAAACAGGCCTGTTTGATGTTGATTCCATGTTCACAACTATGTTTTCAATTTTAGCAATATCAGTTAGCCAGTTTTTAATCTATTTAATGTGTGCCATGCTCATAGTATATCATTCCAATTTTTAATCAGAATATCATGCAGTACCAAGTCAAATGCATTAGACAAGGCTAAGTATAATATGTCAATGCTATTATATTTATCAATCAAATCTGTAATCTCATTTAAAAAAAAAAAGATATGCAGCTTGACAGGCTCTGTTTTCCATCAAATCACGTTGATTTGCATTAATTATCTTCCTTTTGTTCTTTGTTAATCAAGTTCCAAGTTTACTGATCCATTATCTTGTTCAGGATTGCTATTCAGATGACAACTGTAATTATCTGAATTTTCTTTCTATCCTTTTTTAAAAACAGCATAATCTTACCTTTCTTCTGGTCTTCTGAAACTTTTAAACTGTTCCAAGGTTTATTGAACACTCCTCAAAAAGTTTCTGTGTCTGCATTTTTAAACTTTTTGGGTATAAGTTCTCCAGATGTGCTTGTTTTAAAGTATCTAAAGAGTGATTCACAAGATAAAAAGGTTACAGTAGTCATGGATCAATTAGAGTCTACCAGTGTGTGATATAAATATTACATATGCTTTATGTAAATATGCTTTTGATATGAATGTCATAACTGAGATACTATTTATGCAAGATGGCTCATATAAGACCACTGGAAGGTTATGATTTACTGAATATGTTTATCCCATTCCTATGTCTGTATCATTTTTGTAGGTGAAGTTAGGAATGTTGATGTGGATGGCATATTTGTCACTTTCTGTCACTCCCATTGCTGACACTTCAGGTACTATAATGGAGAAGTCAGTCAGAGCTGAACAACTGATTAAGTTTTACAGTGGAGTGTAAAAGAGTTTAGTCTTCCTGTGAATTAGGTGTGCCTGCCTGTGAAAAATGGTTTCAGAGCCCTACAGAGACATGTCACGTGATACTGGAACCCATCTTTAATTTTGTACTTTTCCATGGAGAAATAGAGAATCAAACATACAGAATTTCTATAACACAGGGAAAGAAAACAATGATTGTCTTCAGCTTCATTTTCCCCTGTCTTCCCCACCCAAAGAGATACTTGAAAACAGCTGAGGGGAAAAAAGGACCGTAACTGAAAGAACGGTGCAGGGGGTCCACCTGCTGGACCCAGGTGAAGAGACACCTGACCTGTGCAGTACTTTCTGAAAAAATAATGGGAAGAAATTATTATTTGTAACTTGTTCTTGGTGAATCTTGGTAAATCTTGCATGCTATATTTTGTTTTCTTTGTCATTTGATTTGTTCTGTTTGTTCTGGCCTTTTCATAATTACTTGTAGTTAACAAACTTATTTCTGGCTTATTATTATAACTCAGTTTATGTAATTTCTAATGAGGGGGGAGAATACCGAGGAAGAAAGTGAACTTCATTTAATTTTAGGTTTGTACCCTGTGTTAGCAGCAAACCGTAAACAAAGTACAGTAGACTTCCGATAATCTGGCACCTTTAGGACCTAGGTGGTGACAGATTATCAGATATGCTGGAGTATCGGGAGGTACTCCAGCGGGGGCTGTGACGGGTCTGCCGGGACCTGCACTGGGTCCGGAGGGTGGGTGGGGAACAGCGCGGCAAGGGGCGAACCCTCCACCATTTTGCAGGAAGGCTGGGGAAGCCCTGTGCTGCTGCCGAGAGTTTCTGGGAGGGGACTGCAGTAGTTATCGCCTAGCAGGGGGGTGAGGGGCGGCACTGCGGGACCAACCCGGCAGCACCCCAACTGCTCTGCTCTGCAGCTTCCCCAAGTCCGCCGCTCATCAGTTTCAGCTTCCTGCAAAAGGGCGGAGGGTTCGCCCCTCGCCGTGCCATTCCCTGCCCACTTGCCCCTCCCCTCCCCAGCCAGTCGCAGTGCGGATCCCGGCAGACCCATCTCAGGGGTATAATCCCCTTCCCCTCTTCGCCCCTTCCCTTTCCCAGCCGCGAGCGCCCATGGGGCTCACAGCAGCTCCAATTGTCCGGCTGGCTGGAGCACTTCCAGGTTCCAGTTTGTGCTAGGCTATCAGGAGTGCCGGACCACTGGATGCTGGACAATTGGAGAGTTATTGTAGGACCTCATGCAGGGTTTCTACGAGCTATGCAACAGATTTCATGGACTGTTGTCAAGATAGAAAGATCAATCCGAGGGAGTTCAAGAGCATCTGGATTTTTCATAGAAAAGATATCGAACATCTGGCCTAGAGGCCACATCTGACCTGTTTAATGTTTTTATATAGCCACATTGCATATTTAGAGTCTACTGAATCTATGAGATTTACTGTCCCCCCAAATGCTTTAGACTCATTCTTTAAGGTCAGAAGGGACCATTATGATCATCTAGTCTGGCCCCCTGCACAGTGCAGGCCACAGAATCTCACCCACCCCCTCCAAGAATAATCCTCTCATGTATATCTCAGATATTGAAGCCTTCAAATCTCTAGTTCTTAAGGTTCAAAAGTTAGCCTTTTAAATGTGCAGCAAGAATAAATTGACTTATTCTTATCAATTTCCTTCCTTTTTAAATGCCTAGCCAGTAACCACACAAATCTTCCATAGCCAGCTAGATATGGAAGTGCAGATAAATCAGTTCCAGGAGAGCTCAGAGCCCGTGTCACATTTTTCACTGTATATAGTGTTCTGAGCAAAAGGACATGAGCTGTTACAGTTCAAATAAATAAATATGCATAATTCCTGGTCATTCTCCAACTTACATCTGGTCATCCTCCAGCATCTTTGTAAGGGCTTGTCTACACTTAAATGCCATAGCAACACAGCTACTTTCCTGTAGTATTTCAGTATTCTTTGGAAGAACTCTATGCGGGGACTTAGGGCAACTGTGCTGGTCAGAGGATCTGCATTTTTCACACCAATATGCTGACCTAAATTTTTAGTATAGTGTAGCTTAGGCCTATTGCTCCCCAGGAGCATGCTTTTGGGGGAAGGTGAATCCACAAAGTGGTTCCAAAATAGTGTAGTATTAAGAGTTTTAGGGAACAAGAGGATTTTTTTTCCTGTTCTCCTAATCTCTCTCACCTATTTGTTTTTCCTTCTTTCTCACTGTGTCCCAAATACCTCTGTCTAGGAGGAGAGGTCAGATCCAGAATGGCAAACTTCTTACATAATGATGATCTTTCTAGAAATGACCCACACTGCTCCAATCTGGTCACAGGCTGCAATTTAAGGACTCTTGTGTTATGCAACAATTTTTGAGGTTCAACGTAGTTAATAATGTGAAATAAGACATTTGTGTTGAGAAATTTATATTTTGCTAATTCATGTTTAAGTAATTGCTCACAGTTCTGGAAGTACTCAGCTGGGGTTAGGGGCTGAAGGGGCGGAAGCAAACCCAAATGCCTCATGGAAGGTCTGAATTGTTTCCAGTATTTGCTGGAAGAGTCACTGCTTAAATATCTCTCACAGAGGTAGAAACCAGGCTCAGAAATGAAATAATCAGATAGCAAATCTTCCATTGTTGGCTGCTTTATTAAAAGACTGTCATGTGAACATCTTATAAGTCTTGCTGGATGCAAGTCACAAATTCCAATAATATCCCACTTCATGTTTGCTCTTAGTCCTTAAAGACCTCTGACATAACACGCATCTAATTTTGACATGAATATAAAGTAAATAAAACCCTGTTTAGAAAGCACTTCTCAAAGAAGATTTATTTTAAAATTATTTTGACTGATTTTCATAGTCATAGTTAAGCATAAAGTATTATATTTTTATCAACTGTTAGTAAACATGGATTTCACACTATGCATGCAGATATTTACATCAATAACTAAATTTATAAATGAAGTAATAAAAATGCTGCTTGAGAACTTACTAGAGTTTGAATTAAGACTATTTCTTCATATCTAATTAAAATATACAATTTGTTTTTTTATGGTTATAAAGTTTTATCTTTTAATATTAGCATCTATTTAAATTAAATAATTATTGTCCACTCATCCTATACTTTTCCACACACACACTGGGAAAATGTAAATAGATTGAAATAAAAAAGTTTTAAAAATAACTGATATTGACCATCAACATTATTTTTCTAAAAAACATTAATTTCTGCCAAAACTATGCATAGTACATGGGACATAGATATGAACCTGACTGGCATTTAAACCTTGATTAGTGTGGTGTCTGGAAAATACTTACGGTATTTTGTTTTTTGTCCGTAATATGATCTTTGAGTGTTTTCATGACAAAGTTATTGCAAAGTGAATGCACTATATAAAGGTAGCAGATAGCTCTCTGGTGAAAAGAAGGGCTCTAAGACCAAGTTTCCTGCTACTGGAGAACATTTATGATTATTATTTATTTATTAACAAGAATGAATAGGGGATTGGTCTACTTAAGGGCGTAAAGAAAAATGTCAATTAATATGAGCTGATTTCTGGAGGACCCACTATGAATTACTGAATATTTTGCTTTAGAGTAAGTGAACAGAGATTATGAAGGGGAAAAAAAATCTCCCTTTATTTAATAGGTTTGTTATAATTCAGTTTACATTATTTATGATTTTTTTTTATTTTAACAAACGTTCCATAGAAGATTTTCTAAAAACACTAATATCTTATTTATATAAGATCTCATAGCTATACTCTGCAAGTACCAAATGCTTTCTAGGAAGAGGAAGATATTTCTCATCCACAAACAAAAAATAGTACTGAGTCCCAGTTGGTTAATTTCTGCTACTGATGTCTCCTTGTGAATGTACATATGTAAACTAAAAAAAGACTTTTGAAGAAAACTGAAATCTGTATGTTTTCATGGCACTAATTGTTTTTTCCTTTTATTTTGCAGCAACGCTCCTCTTGCTTTTTCCTCCAAAGTATGTTATATTAAGTTTCGTGAAGCATCAAGTGTTGGTGTGGCCCAGCATCTAACTAACACGGTTTTTATTGACAGAGCTCTGATAGTCGTACCCTGTGCAGAAGGTTGGTATTTCAGATGTTTTTCTGTAATGTTGGTCTTTGTCCTGTATGTTCATTGCCTTTAGCTTTCCCAGAAACTGGCAAGTAACTGATACTCTTCTTTTTTCCCCATCATATTTTTGTAAGCAAAATCTTAGATTTGAAAGATAGAAAGAATAAGCTATTAAAAAAATAAAGTAAAATATGTTGGCTACGCTTTTAAGCATCGTTTATATTCATTTACTTGTAACTATGTATGAGCAAAATTAATAAATTAATTCAAATTAGTAGTTTTATCTTGTATTCCATTCTTATATATGGAAATACTTGAAAAAACTTTATAAAATAAAACTGCTTTCCTTCTCATTTTCATGGGCTGACCCTCATGCCTATCCAGAGTCTTCATTGATGTCAATGTGACCCTGCAAAGGAGAGGGAATTTCCCTGCATAGATCAGATTGCAGTTCAGGGCATTTGTGCTTTGATTTGTTGTCTCTTACATTATAACATCAATTAACATGCAACTTCACTTGGGCCCAGATTTTTGAAGGTATGTAGGAGTTTTGGGCGCAGTATTGCAATATCTCACTAGTTTAGAAATGTCACTAGTTTGAGTGACATTAGGCGAAGGTTGGGCAAAAGCCTCTCAGCGGACTGGATCTGGCCCGCCTAGGGCTCTGATCTGTCCCACGTGGCAGTTCCAGGCCCTGCCCTCTTGCACATTGCCTGGGAGCTGGGGCTGCGCAAGCCCTTTTAATTGCTTCTATTTAAAGGGTTTGCACCTTCCCCACACCTGTTGGGCACCGTGTTTCCTGGCAGTCTCAGGGAAAATGCGAGCCCTTTAAATAGAAACAGTTGAAAAGGCTTACACGTCCCAGCTCCCAGGAAAAGACTTGCACATCCCCCCCAGATCCGTGGGGCTGGACGCTGCGAGCCTTTTTAACTGCTTCTATTTAAAAAGGGCTCGCAGCTCTGGTGCCACCAGCGCATTGCCAGGGAGCCAGAACATGCAAGCCCTTTCAACTGCTTCTATTTAAAGGGATCGTGCCTTCCCCACATCTGCCAGGCAACACATTGCCCGACAGGTGCAAGTCCCAGTTCCCAGGCAACGCACTAGCAATGAGGCTGGAAGCAGCAAGCCCTATAAATAGCAGGAATTGAAAGGGCTTGCAGCTCCCATCCCCTGTTAAAGTGATGCCTGGGAGCTGAAGGGGAGGTGTGAGCTCTTTTCAACTGCTATTTAAAGGCTCTGCCCCTTCTGCCCAAGGCCCTGTCCCTTCCGGGGTGGCCTGTGGCCACTTCAAAAATGCTTGAAGTGGCCTTCATTCAAAAATTATTGCCCACCCCTGCTTTAGACACGAAAGAGCTTAAATCCCGTGGACTGTGCCTGAGTTCCTATATCTCTTTAGAAAATGAGTCTGGGACTTCTAAATCACTTAGTCATTGCAGTGCTGAGTGCAGCAGAGCCTATGTGCATTTAAGAAGCTGAATCTTAAGTTAATTTTAAGATAAATTATTTAATCAGATCTTCAAATAAAATTTCAGAACTGCATTGTCATCAGGAATTCTAGTTCTAAAGTTAAATGCAGACAAGACTAAGAAATTATTTTGTCAGTTTTAGTTTCTCAGATTGAAAATACAGTAAAAACTTTATCTGGTACTCTGTTAACCAGCATTTCCCCAGCCAGTTAACCAAGTTTGAAATTAACAGAGTGCCAGATGGACTGCCAGTCCTGCTGCTGAGGGAGGAGGTTTCCTCCTGCCCTGGAGCAAAGCCAGTAAGGGCTGCTTTGTTATCCAGCACATTCAGTTACCTGGAGACTGCCGTTCCCATCAGTGTTGCATAACCAAGCTTTACTGTATTTCTGTGTTTATGGTTCCATTTACTACTTAAATATAATGTGAGTTACTAGTTTTGTACATTGCAAATTGTGGTCTTAATACTGCAGTCTGATGCACATAGACAAATCCCAGCACATATACTGAGCCCCACTGACTTCACTGAAACGCCATGTGGCATTTGGACCTGGTCTGTACTTAAAATTTAGATCAACATATGTTGCTCAGAGGTTTGAAAAATCCGCACTTTTAAGCACCATCGCTATGCTCATCTAACCTACAGTGAAGATGTGGTTAGGTCGATCAAAGCATTCTTCCATCAACCTAGTTACTGCCACTCAGGGAGGGGGATAACCTATAGCAGTGTTTCCCAATTTTATTTGGCCAAGGAACCCTTTTCAGAATTTCACGGAACCCCTAAGTTTGTCAAGCAAAAAAAAAAAAAAAGGAGGGGATGATCCATGAAAATCACATTCCTTCCCCCACCACTTCCTTGAGGCCTCATTCTCTCTGGTCTCCTCCTCTTCATCACTTGCTATCCCCAGCCGTTATATACTCTCACTAGGTTGAGACAGGAGGTGCAGGCTCTGGGGTGGGAATGAGAGATTTGGGTGTGGGAAGGGGTGAGAATTACAAGCTCTGGGAAGGAATTTGGATGCAAGAGAAGGGGATGTTGGCTCGGGGAGGGGGCTCCAGGCTGGGGAGTGTTGGGCTCCGGTGGAAAGTTGTGGTGCTGAGCAAGCCATGGGCTTGTGGATGCGAGTGTGCAGGAGTTTGGGCTGGATATGTGAGGGGCTCAGGGCAAGAAGGCTGTGAGTATGATGGGCTCAGGACACAGATTTGTGATGTATGGATGGTGCAGGAGTGTTGTGGCAGAAGACTGAAGATGTGGGGGTTCGGGAGTTTGGGGATGTAAGAGGCTCAGGACAGGGGGTTCCTTGTATGATAGGCTCAGATTTGGGGTCAGGTGGTGCAGGAATGTTATGATGCTGCAGTGAGATGGGGGTTTGGCCCCAATTGGGGGCTTGTTGGCCAGGCTTCATTTTTAAATAAAATATTATGTTAAACTCAAAAGGTTTTAGCATTGTCTTTAGTGAGGCTTGGAGGTTTTTGGAACTGACTTTTCTGATTCCTCACCCCTCTCATAAATAATGTGGTCCCAACTGTGCTGGTGGGGGCAGGGAAGAGCATGCTAGTGGGTGCTGGGGCTGGGGAGAGGGTGCTGCTGGGTGGCAGGATGCTGACTCAGGTGGCGGGGTACTGGGGCAGGATCCTGGGACAGGTGGCAGGGTGCTGGGGTCAGGGACATGGTCCTGCTGGGCACTGGGGTGGCTAGCAGGGTGCTGGGATAAGGAACAGGGTGGTGCTGGGTCTTGGGGTGTGTGGCAGGGTGCTGGGGCCAGGGACAGGGTGGTGCTGGGTCCTGGGGTGGGAGGCAGGGTTCTGGGTCCAGGGACAGGGTGGTGCTAGGGTGGATGGCAGGGTGCTGGGGGCCAGGGTGAGGGATGGGGTACAGATTCTGGGAGGGAGGTGGGGGGTGGAAGGGAGCAAGGTCTGGGTGGTAGGTAGGGTGTAGAAGCAGGCTGGATGTAGGGTGTCTGACCAGGGGGAGGGAGCAGAAGCAGATTGGGGGTAGGGTGTCTGGCTACGAGGGAGGGGGCTGTTGCACCCCAGCAACTTACTTTCGTGATGCTGTCCTGCGGGGAGGAGGGTGCAGGGAGTCCTAAGGCAGAGCACGCTGCCTGCACAGTTGGAGCTGCGCAGCCCCAGGTCTCCTGACTTTCTGCCCCCCCATCGCGCAGAAAGGCCACAGAACTAAGTTGCTGAGTGCTGCAGCCCCAGTTGTTCAGGTAGTGCGCTCTGGCTCCTTTGGGAAGGGGAAGTGCTTCCCTCCCCACTGTGGGTCAAGTGGGGTCACCCCGTCTGGCACCCCCCTAGTGTACGGGGGGCACACGCTGGCTCCTTTGGGGAGGGGAAGAGCTTCCCTCCCCGCTGTGGGTCACGTGGGGTCACTTCTGTCCAGCATTCCCCTGGTGTGCCAACCGGGAGCAACTGTTCCCTCTGCCCCAGCCTCCATACGCCTATGCTGGCTAGCCGGCTGTAAAGGGATGGCAGTCCTCTCCCCCTTTTCTGTCAGTTTACTCTGGCTTAAATGGCCGCCTGGCCGTCCTTTTGTTAACCAGTTTACAATTGTTTCTGCCTCAATGGCAGTCCGTTTTGTAGTCCGATACCACAAGCATCTCCAACAGTTCTTCCCCGCTGCTGGCGTGTGGGGGTAGGGAGACGGATGCCAGCCCAGGGCTCTAAAGACAGGTTCAGGTAAAGACCTGTCTGGCTGGTGGGGCTCCTGCTGCAAAGCACCAGCCCGCAGGTCACCTGTAGGCAATCCCTGCCTTTGGCTTCTTCCTACCTCCGGGGACCTTCGACTTCAGCCCCCTGTGCTCCCCTAGTTCCGAAACTCACCACCTCCGTGCCTTAACTCCAGGCATTGGAATAATGCTGGTGTTTCCTCCCCCGCTCCAATTCTGTTCCCATTCCCCTGTCCCCCTTGCTCCCTTTCCTGCCCTGTCTCTTGAAGCTGCAGTCATTTTGAATTCCCTGCTCTGGCTCCCCCATGCTAACCCCTCCCCTTGACGTCACCCATCCTGCCCCCTCCCACTCTGGACACACGGCCCGGTGGACAGCTGACATCTCACAGTTCAGCATTCCCTTGGTGGCAGTACAGCCCCGCTGTGCTGCCGCACAAGAACAGGTGACACAGACAGGCATCTGCCCCTTGAGCACCCCATAAAGTGCAGGGGTTGGTGAGTCCTCCCGCCCTGGGATGGGTCCCTGGGTCCCTCCCGTCACACCGGCGCTCTCCTTTCAGAGGGGGCGGGGGAGTGCCGGCTCCTCGCGGAACCCCTACTTTTGCTTCGCAGAACCCCAGGGTTCTGTGGAGCACCAATTGGGAAACACTGACCTATAGTGACAGTAAAACCCATTCCATTGCTGTAAGAAGTATCTATAGTATGGCTCTAGATTAGCATAGGTACAGTGCTATAGCTATTCTGCTTTAGCGACTGTAGTGTAGACAAGCCCTAAGTTTACATATGCTGTGCTCACATATATCAGATTTGGATATGGACCATAAATCCATAGAAAAGAATTTATAAACCAGTGGAATGCAGCCAGCCGTCTTTAGAGTGTACTTACTAGCTGTCATGCTATGTACAGCAAATCCATGTGAGTTAATGGTAATCTACATAGCTCATGTATTTGTCAAATGCCACCACTAGCCAAATAGTCATTTACTTAATAAGTCTTCATTGATCCTTTAAAAAAATACTGTTGCGGGTCCACAAGGTCTATTTTTGTTTCCTTTGGGATTGTTAACAGTGTCCCAGAAAGGTTTGTTGTGCCAAAATAAGGCTATCAAGAATTGTTGAATCAGTTCTGTGCTTACAGAATGATCCATACTGGGATGTTCGTAGTAAACTCAGGAGAGCAAGCAGACTTTCATGGATCCTTGAAAGTATTTCTTTTAAAGGTTATTTAAATCTTATTTATTTGCTTACTACCTTCATAAATCTTAATTGAGGCATATTGCACGTATTTCTGAAATGCATGGACTATAGGTTTTGGGGATTTTTTTTTATGTTTACCTTTAAATTCAGGGAGAAAATAATAATACTGTATCCAACTGAAACTGCAGAAAGAATTTAGGTAGGCAGAATGTCTGATGAGAGCTGTTACTCTGGAAAAGGTTCCAAAGTTCATTCATGAGGATGATCAAGAATAATTTTTAGTGTTATGTCTCATTGAAAAGACACAAATTCTGGATCAGTACTGCTAGAAAGGGAAGATTGCTTCCTAATGAATCAGTACCACTTTTGGGGTTTTCCTTCTGATAGGATCACAGTTTTCTCTTGGAAATAGATGATGATAGAGGAAAAATACAATAAAATTTTTGAGATTTTTTTTTTTTATTCCCCAATCATGTTCCACCCATTTCATAGCTGACAGAGGCATTCTGAAGCCACATTATTCTATTGCAGTTTGTTTACAAGTCATTGTGGACTGTACAGAAAAATAGACCTTGTTTACAAGTAACTGTACATAAAAATGGGTTGAGACACAAACCTGCTTAAAAATTTCACACCATTAAATGAGCTGTTTCTATGCAACTTTATTACTGAACCATTTGTGTTAGTTTATAAATACTATCTGAACTGACAATAGTTTTAACTTTCTAAGGGATGTGTGTTTAATATATATGGCTCTGGAGAACACAGTACAATATTTGTTGATATAGCTGTAAATGTGATTGGTAAGGTATACTATGGGCTACGAAAGCCGTAATTTCTGTGTTCTGCTGCTAAGTTTACATTCTGCCATTGGCCAGCAGTGCTGTTACTGAAAGGATTAGTGTAAGAAAAAGGGATACATAAAGGTTGGTTTAAAAAAAAATTAGAATGCCTTTCATCAGTGCGACCTCAGCAGAGTGTGAAGAGGGAACCCCAAAGCATTGAAAATAATGTTCATTTTATAACATTCACGTGTACTTTACCAGTAGCTACTTTATTAAAAAAAAATGTTACTTGAAATTAAGTAAAATTTCATTGCACTGTCAAAATGTTATCCTTTCCTTTGTTTGTGCATCACAGGTTTTTGGTTTGTTTGGTTTCTTTTTTAATGTTATACCTTTAGATAGCAAAGGTTGAAACATAACAATGATGTTGACCTAACCATCATTCTGAACTTTATGTCCACATTTTCTGGTAGATGGATTTTGACTATTAATTTGGTTTTGTATGTTTTCTCTGTGTGATATTTGTGCATTATTAGATGACTAGACTGGCCAAGGCAGACCTGTTACACTTGCCTGAGTTAGGCATTGTTTGCCATGCCACTAAACCTGCCGTCAAGTGAAACCTTCATGGGGAAAATGAGATCGAAGTCTGGCCCGCTGAAGATGGACGCCCTGTCTCTGTTTTTATTATTTTATTTTGCTTTCCTTTCCTTTTTTTTTATTTTGTCCCTTTTTTGTTTTGTTTTTGTTTTTGCTGAATCTCTTTCACTTCTACTTGTGAACTGGTTCTTCAGTTCTGTAAAAATGGTGTTTTGTAAAGGGTTCATAATGTTTCATTTTACAGTTGCCTTTCTAAAGCTATTTGAGGGTGGTGAATGGTATATACACCAAATGTTGAATTAGATCATCTAAATTCTTTGCTGTAAACTAGGGATGAACAGTGCCTTATAGATATGTTTAGGAATCTTAATTTAATTCTGTCAGGTAGATCAGAATATGATATATGAAGATTAAAATATGCGTGTGGACTACATTTTCAAAAGTACATGTCTCTGAAAAAGCCAGCTGAGTCTTTCTTATTGCATCTTTCTTGAGAATCTAACTTTTACCAAACAAAAGCACAAGGCACATGGCTTTTTAATTAATTTTTAATGTGAAGAAGTTTAGATATCTGTTTTGGATTTGCTTTTGAAAAAGTTCTGAACATTCTAGACTCTTTATTCTCACTGTATGTGAAATTCTAACTCCATTGGTAGTAATGGAGGTTGGGGTTTTTTTCCCCATTAACTTCACTAGGGTCAGGATTTCATCGTATTTGTATTAATTTTAAGAAAAATCTTTAACACACATTAGTGTAAATGGACTCTGAGCCTTTGAATGTTTTGTCAGTTATGTTGTCTTTTAACAATGTTATCTGTGGGAAGATGGAAACAATTTTTTTTAACCTTAACGCACTAGAATGGCGTTTTCATTTAGATGCAACAGAAAGGGATTTTATAAGAAATGGTTCCATACATAAGTTTATATTTCCCAGTGATTTAAAAAAAAATACTAAGAAAATAATATATTATTTTCTAATCTCCAGATTAGATATGAGTATAAAGTGTCTCCTTAATTGAAACATCGCTGAAACCCTTGTATTCTTTTTTATATCCTCCAAAACACAAGGAAACTGATCTCTTCTGAACACTTGTAATTTTGTGACTAATACACTAAATTTTACTGATGACAGGCCTAATTGTCGTTTACAGTAAGGCTACTTTACATTGCTCTGGCAAGCCATTTCTAAACTACAGAGCCTGTACTATCATAGCTATTTAGTGAACTTGCAATGCACACTGATAGAAGGAGTTTTTCTTCTGGTGTAAGCCCACCACTTCCCCAGAGCAACATTGTAGTAACACAGCATTTTTCTATCAGCATAGCTGTATCTACATTAGAGCTTTTGATGGCATGGCTGTGTTGCTAAGGAATATGGATTTTTCACACTTCTGACCAGCATAGTTATGCCAATATAAATTCAAAGTGTAGATCAAGCCTCTGTGTGAAGTGTCCTAAAATGGATGTAACAGTGATTTACAGTCCACTTAAAAAGATCCCTTTGTGAAATGAAATGAAAATCAGATCTGTCATTTATGACTGAACAAAGAGCACCCAAAAGATAATTACAATCTTTTTAAGGCACTGGCACAAATTGAAAATAAAAAATTGGTCCATAAAATTGACAACCTATCCTCTTTAAATAAATACATATTTTCTATGAAAGAATTTCAAATAAACTTTTAAGGGTTAAGTTCACTCATCCAACAATAATACGATTTTTTTTAAAAAGCAAGCCTTAAAATTGAAGTGTTAACCGATGTCTTATCTCGTAATAGCCAAAATGTTTTGTTTATATTTTGTCTAGGTTTGTATTCCTTTTTTACAAAAGAATGATTAAGGAAGGTAACAAAACAGATTCCGTAGGAGCACTTCAGATTATTTAGCATTACATTTAATTTATCAGCTTTTTTGCTAGTTTTGTTTGAAAGAAATGGCAAAGTTTTTTGGTGGGAAATTTCTAAACTATTTCCATTTTCTAAATTGATTCATTTTTGGGGAAAGTGCACACAGCATATTAGTGTGCAAAATTTTTGAATATTTTTTAGTTTGTTTGATTTTTTTTAAAGAAATCAATAAAATATTGAGGAAACATCTGCAGAACTCCTATTTCATTAAAAAGATCTTTAAGAATAAGTCAGTATTTTTAAGTAAAACTTTGTGTGGAAAAACTTTAACCGGCTCTACATAATTTTTTTTAACATAGGTTAGGTGAGATGAAAAACATTAGGGAAATGTAAAAAAAAAATCAATTTTAAAATGGTTATTATCCACCTGGCAGTTTACCTTCTGCAATCTTTAGGTGGCAAGTTACTTTAGCATATACACAACTTTAAATGTATGAATAGTCTAAGTGAATTCAGTGGCATTGTTCTTGCATTTAAAGTCTAGGCACATCTTAAGTATCTTTCTAAACTGATTACCCTTATCCAACTAAATATTTATGTATGTTCTACATTCAATTTAAGCATATGCTTAATTATGTACAGAATACAGGTAGATTTAAGTGCATGCTTAAATTAGGTGTGTGCATTCTGGGCTGTAAATTAGAATTCAGCATTACTGTCATAAATTCTATACCATTCCTGTAGGTGTTCATCCATGTAAAGTCCCATGGATTTAGTGGGATTATAGAAGTGCCAAGTGTAAACACAGAAGTGTATCTCTACAAGATTAGGACCTTATTGATCTGTAATATAGATCTTCATGATTAGTTCATGTTTCAACAACACTTTAAAAACATAACTTACAATTTCCCAAAAGCCAGCTGTGTAAATGTATGCTTAATTTGCATGCACAGTTACTGTGGTTATGTATTTAAATATCTGTTTAGCTGCATAACTGATAATATGTGCAAGCAAATACCTGCTTTTCATGAGCAGCCCCACAAATCAGGCATTATAACTTCACATGCTATTGCACGTGTAACTTTAAAATGAGGCCTGTAAAAGCACTGTATTCATGCTATATATGATTTTGGCTTTAGATCAGGCATGTTTTTAAAGTTATGGAAGAAGTTTCTGTGCAGTTAATTTTCAAACACTAATAATTTGATTTTATTTTTCTCTTTTAGAAAGCAAAATGCCTTGGTCTGTTGTACATTATGGGCCAAAGTTTCACAGAACGAATTTTAAAGTAAAATAGATCTGTTTTATTAACAAGAGTGCAACATATGTAGAAGAAATTGTGGTGTTTATTTTTTTTTCATTCCATATCTATTCACATTAAAATGGATTTTATTTCAATTTATTATCTTTTGGACAGAGGCAACTCAGATCCACTCTAGAGCTGCAAATTATGGTGCATATTTTCAAAATATTCTTTTAGACAGATAACTTCCATGGACTTTAATGGGAATTGCACTGCCAAAAATTTGCTTAGTGCTTTGAAAATTTACCCCGTATGTTATTTTTAAATCAGGAGTCCTTTTCTATGTATTCATTATAAACTCCTGAAGTTTCTATGTATTTCATTATAAACATAATGAAAATGTATGTGCAAATTGAAGTAGTACCAGAGTACTTACACTTTTTTTTAAAACAAATATTTATTTAAAGTTCATTATTGTAGAAAGCCATTAACACCTCTAAACTGCACAAGGTAATGTATGAGGACTTTTTTATGGCTACTTTCGCAGTTTGGAGCAGATTAGGAAGTCTTTAATTATTTAGTGTGATTAGGAATTTTCTGGTAGTTTTTCAGTTTTAGATTTTGTGATGATTTTTTCATTATGTGCATTTAGTAAATTGTTTAAATATTACAGAATTTAATACTCATATTTCTTAGTCTAGTATTTGTTATAATTATACATATAACCATCATACATTTTATTCAGATGAAAATTATTTTAATAAACTATTGGGATGACAACAGGGGAATCGTTAGTCACAGTTGCAGTATATATTTTTTATGAAAGTGTAGTGCATTTAGAGGGAAAACAATTGAGCTATCTCTGTACATTTACAATTAGATGATCGGAGATGTAAGTCTTTTGTAGTCCCACTTACACTGAGACAACCCATAACCTAGCTGCAGTGCAGATTCTGATAGTTTTTGTATTTTATTTATGTATTACCCAAAACAGGTAGCAGCTCCAGAAGAAAAGGGACAGATTTCAATTAGCACATACTTTTTTTTTTTTTTAACTAATTTGGTTATTTGCCATTTCTGGGGATTAAACTTTAAAAAATGTTCTTCTTTTCTGTATCTGATGTTCTGTGTGCTATTAGTGATGCAGCCTACACGAACGGTTGTCATGTGTAACACAACTTTCGATCACCGTGAAAACACCGCCCTGGGAAAGCGTCCATGCTTGATATCGTTTGGTTCATGAACATTAAGTTTCCAGTACAGGTGACCCATAGCTCAAAGTGTTAAATAATTGTCTACATTATTCAGTTTTTAAAATAATAATCCATTAATGAGATTGCTAGTCTTTGAAGTTTTACTCACTTTTGTTTTTCCTAGTAGAGCAGGGTTAAAAGGAAAAAACTTTAGTTCTTATTTGTTTTTTGTAAGGCTCTGGTAGATAGATTCATTTTTCTTTCTTTTATTTTTAAGTGCAAGGGTAAATTGTAAAATCATAGAAAGAATAACATTGTTTTGGTGTTCAAACTCTCTCTAACACTTCCATTTGCTTCTCCAGGTAAAATCCCAGATGAAGCCAAAGCCCTCTCTTTATTGGCTCCTGCTCCCACTATGACAAGCCTGATGCCTGGTGCAGGATTGCTTCCTATACCCACACCAACTCCTCTGACCACAGTAAGTAAAATTTAATCTCCCAGACTTGGAGTTAATAAACTGTTATATCTTCTAGCTCCCTCCTTCAGCTCAACAAATAATTCTCCCCTTCTGAACTGAGAGAAAAGGAATAGTTTGACCCTATGACATCATATCCTACCTAAGTCAGTGAAGAAATTAAATTCCTCTGTTTTGCTTTTTCTCAAGAGATCAGACTAGAGTATGGCTAGTGTGTTTGCTCCGTTTTTTATTTCAAATTCCTATCTACAAAGTACTGCAGGATGGCAGAATATGCAGACCTTCCTCCAACAATATTTGGCTTAATGGGTCTTCCCTCTGTTCACCTGTCATTGGCCCCAAATTATTTGTGGAAATGGGGCCATGATCTACTGACCTGGTGGCTGCTCTGCATTCACCATACTATTGTTGGCACCAATTTAGATTTCTGCATTTAACAGAACTACTATAAGTGCGGGCAATGACAATGTGCTCTTGAGTGACTACTCAGCAAACTCTTACTGGCATCATTACTAGCATTTTCAGCTTCTTGATAATGGGGTGACTGTGCCAGGCCCAGTGATACAGAAGAGCTTAGAACTTTCGGCTTCCTACCCTGAGCTCTTTAAATCGCCTCCGGATCATGGTGTGGCCCGCTCTGGAAGGCTCTAAGGGCTGGCTGGAGGGGGGCAGCACAGTGCAGTCCTAGCAGTGCTGAGGACTGGCTGCCCAGCCCTCCCCTTGTGTCCGAGAATCTGCCCCTTCCCGTTTCCCAGCAATTCGGTTGGCCTCACTGGTTGCAGTAGCCCCTGCACCTCTTTGTTTTTACACACGTGGACTCATGTAGAAGCAATTGGAAACAATGAGGAAATGGTACCATATTACTTACCATCTCACTGTATCCTACCAGCTAGTGATCTACAGTCCACAGAATTGCTGCATTATGTTTGAATTCCAGATTTTCCACCAGCATAAGGACTATGGAAATCCAGCAAGTGTCAAGATACTGATTAAATCACTTTGGAATTCATTTGTCTGTGTGTACATAAGGGAAAGTCTGATAGTCATTTGAATTATTGGATTTTTTAAAAACTTTTTATATATCAGTCTACCAGGGATACAAATAACTGCGATGTATTAGCTATGACATTCTGTTTTCCAGTGGTACTGTGTTCATTTATGTCTCTGTTGTTGCACAAGATCTTTTACTGGCTCCTACAGCTAATGCTACTTCTGTAGACTAAATAAGAAATACTTACACTTGAGCCAGTTTAGATCCCCCTCTGAGCTATCGCATGAGCAGAGGGTCCAAGCTAGAAAAGCGTTAGACCCATTGTGTCCAACTTGCAAGCCACTAGCCACATGTGGCTTTTTGGACAGTTAAGTGTGTCTAGTTCACTATAGCAGTAGCTACTATAGTGGCTTCAGAACTGGTTGGACACATCTTTAGATTGAGATTTCAGAGCAATGTAGAGGATTTGGATGCCCACTTTCCTTTTAAAATTAAGGAGAACTGAATGTCCAATTATTTCCATTAGGCTCTCCATGGTGCAGCCAAAGCATTAATCACAAGAAACTCCTTTATTGAGCAAAATTAGACTTTCCTCCCCCCATTTGTCAATTATTATATTAATCTGGGGAAAGACTCAAATTTAAGCACTTGTTTCACAGAAGAAAATTAACATTGGTGCCTTTAGAATATAGTTGCCTTTCCCTAGATGCTAATTCTACGTTTATTAATAACCTGGGCATAAATATTCATGTTTTATATTCTGCAAGGAAATTCTGTCACTGGCTTTCATTTTGATTATGATACTGCATCACTGGTCAGATAGCACAAATAAGATAGTGACTGGCTACATTTGGAACATTTAATATATGTGAACATCTACAGGGGGAAATTATTTCAAAATAACTCCCAAACTAATAATTTTTTAAATAACCCGTTGACACTACAAGGCAGAATTGAAATCACTCAAAATTATTTTGAAATAACATGTCCATATTGATTGGAGCGTGCATCAGATTTAAAGTTTCCAGCAGCACTTTGGAGAGGGCATCAGGAGGGCGCACACTTCCTGTAGCTGCTTGCTAAGTCTAGCTGAGACACATGCTTAAAGGGGCTCCTTTCTACAGCCAGGGTACGTCTAAACTACATGGCTCCGTCGACGGAGCCATGTAGATTTGTTGTTTTGGCAAAGTCAAATGAAGCCGCGATTTAAATGATCGCGGCTTCATTTACATTTACATGGCTGCCACGCTGAGCCGACAAACAGCTGATCAGCTGTTTGTCCGCTCAGCGCGCTAGTCTGGACGCTCCCCTGCCGACAAAGGGCTTTGATGTCGGCAGGGGAGCGTCCAGACTAGCGCGCTGAGCGGACAAACAGCTGATCAGCTGTTTGTCGGCTCAGCGTGGCAGCCATGTAAATGTAAATGAAGCCGCGATCATTTAAATCGCGGCTTCATTTGACTTTGCCAAAACAACAAATCTACATGGCTCCGTCGACGGAGCCATGTAGATTTGTTGTTTTGGCAAAGTCAAATGAAGCCGCGATTTAAATGATCGCGGCTTCATTTACATTTACATGGCTGCCACGCTGAGCCGACAAACAGCTGATCAGCTGTTTGTCGGCTCAGCGTGGCAGCCATGTAAATGTAAATGAAGCCGCGATCATTTAAATCGCGGCTTCATTTGACTTTGCCTATGTGTCTAATCTACATGCCTCTGACGACAGAGGCATGTAGTCTAGACACCGCCCCAGTGTCACACTACTCCTCCACTGCCTACCTCCTCAGAAGACACCAAACTCACGCAGTGTGTTCTGGTTGCCCTTGCGGACGCCACAGCACTCACATCATGGAATCGGAGCTGCTGCAAAGCGGTGCCAGGCTCATGCTGTGCCTCATGGCACAGTTCATCCAAACTGCCCATGTGCTGCTTCAGCATGACGATGACCAGCCCAAACAGGCGGATCCCGTCACTCAGGCCCTGGTGCTCCTGCAGCAGCAAATGATCCTCAGTCTCCTGCACCCTATCAAATGCTGCTTCGGGCAAAGGGAGACCAGTTCAAACTGGTGGGACCTCATCGTCATGCAGCGGTGGGACAACCAACAGTGGCTCCAGAACTTCTGCATGTGGAAGGCTACCTTCTCGAAACTCTGTGAGTGGCTCTCCCCTGCCCTCAGGTGACAGGACACCCACATACGACCCACTACCCTCTGCAGAAAGTGGCAACATTGCCCTCTGGAAGCTTGTCAGCTACTGCTCCCTTGGGAACCAGTTCGGCATGGGAAAATCCACAGTCAGAGCCCGAGTTCCTGCAGGTAGTCAAGGCCATCAATAACATATTGCTGTGGAGGGTCATCACTCTGGGGAATGTCAACACCATCGTAGATGGCTTTGCAGCTTCCCCAACCGAGGAGGGGGACATAGATGGCACTCATATCCTCATCCTGGCCCCGGACCATTGAGCCCTGGGACTATATAAACAGAAGGGGGTACTTTTCTATGGTGCTGCAGGCCCTGGTGGACCACAAGAGATGGTTCACAGAAGTTAGTGTTGGCTGTTCGGGGAGGGCGCATGATGCCTGCATCTTCCAGAACTCATACCTGTTCCAGAAGATGCACACTGGCACAATTTTTCCTGACGGCACCATCAGGGTGAAGGACGTGGACATGCCCATCTGCATCCTGGTCAATGCAGCCTATCCCTTGCTCCCCTGGCTTATGAAACCCTAAATGGGCAACCGGGACCCCACCAAGGAGAACTCCCAACGCCAGCTAAACAGGTGCCACCATTGTGGTAGAGTGTGGCTTCAACCATCTAAAGGGAAGTTTCAGGAGTCTCTTCATCCATCTGGACATGAGTGAGCGCAACACACAACATCCCCTATATGGTGGCATCCTGCTGTGTGCTCCATAACCTATCTGAGAACAAGGGGTAGACTTGGGGGCTGAGGCTGAATGACTGGCCAGGATTTATGAGCAGCCGGACACCAGTGCCATACGGAGAGCCTATCAGGAAGCTGTGATCATCCCAGAGGCCTCAAGGGAGAGTTTCAGCCAAGGCCACCTGTGAGACTCTTCCCTGTGCCTCTCCACAAGGGGTCCCTGCATTGCCCTGTGTGCCTTTCTTCCTCCAGCCCTCCCTTTCCCTTTCCTCCCTTCCCAGCCACCCCATCCCTCCTCCTGCAGAGCAAAGGAAGCATTTTTTTTTCCTTTTTAAACAAATAAGTCTGTTTATTTGAGGGATATATAACAGGGGAGGGACTGGGGGGGGGGGAAACCTGGGGGAGGAGGCGAGAGTGGGGCCTGGGACTAGCACCTGCCTTAAGTAGCTCAAATGGCTTTGCCCAAGAGGTCCCATCACCACATGCTCTGGGGCCCCAATGGCTCCTTGGGGGTTTAGAAGGGAAAGCCGAGAGGGGGGTAGTGGTGGGGGGTGGGGAGCGGAGGTGACTGGTGGCTCTATCACAGAGGTGCAGGAGGTGCACATGGCTTTGTGCTGGCACGCCAGCTGGTCCCACATGGCCTTCCACTGCTCCCAGCCAGCCCAGTGCTCCTCCTGTTTGGTGGCCCGCTCCCAGTGCTCCTCATTGAGCCCCCGGATGAGGGACTGGTGGCAGGCCATCTGGTCCTGCAGCAGGTCTTCCCGAGTTCGCTTCATCTAAAAGATCATGGATGTGTGAGATTGGTCCCCTCCTGTCAAGCACAGTGATGCTGGAGAGGATGCTGCCCAAGAGCAGGCATGACCCTGTGCCATTTGCACACCTCTGTGTGGTTCCATGACTCTAGCCTCCTTAGTGATGGCTTGTCGTGGGAAGAAGTTGTTCCACCATCGAGGGCATAGTAAGGCAGGCCTCTCTAGGAACTTTGTGAGAAGGACCATGGGGTTCATGTGTGAGAGCGTCATGGGACTGAGTGCTCCAACTGCCACTCTGTTGTGTGACACCCTTCCCTCCCCCCCAGCCAAGTAGCCTGAGCAAAGAGCATGCAGCCTCTCGTAGTCTGCTGCCGGCTCCAGAATGTGTATAGGGAAAGTTATAGAACTCACCTGAAGTGCTTTCTCTGGGATGGTTCAACACCTAGGAGACATTGTGGGAGGTGGGGACTGGCTTCAGTGTGAGGAGCAGTTCCTGGCTGGTGGGAATGATGGCTGGTGGACACACACTCAGTGCCAGCCTTCACAAGGGCTGGCCTGCTCCTCCTCATTCTCCAGAACCCCACCCTTGTGAAGGCTGGCGCTGGGTGTGTCCTGGTCAGACTCGATGACAATGGTGGGGAGGTGACATTCTCTTCCTCCCCTCTCCCCTTCCCGCCCCCCCATGACACCTAACCACTCATAACAGCGGCAAGTGTAAGGAGCCACCCCAGAGCATCCATGTTGCTCCGTGGCCTTGCTGTAGGCCCTCCGGAGTGCTTTTATTTTTATGCAGACCGGGTTGAGGTTTCACACGTGTCCTTTTTTGGCCAGGCTGTTGCTGTTTGGCCGTAGACATCAGCAATCCTCCTTCTGGCGCAGAGATCTTGGAGGTTGGAGCCCCCTCCCTCCCCCCCCCAGATCTCAATGAGGTCCAGGATCTCTGCATCAGGCCAGTCCCTCTTTCACCCATGGCTAGAGACAGCTGAGGGCACTGGCTTGGTACAGAGATCCTGAGCAGCCATGGAGGGCTCAGAGGGAGCACTGGGGTCCAACATGGCTGCTCAGATGGGTGCTATGTGGCATGGGCTGTGAAAGGTTCACAAGTTTCATGTGCCCTTTTCCTTCATCTTGAGGATGTTACATTTAGATTAATTGGCTAATCAAATAGTCAATGCAATTTACATCGATTATTCGATAAGGGCACCTTCGCCTTTGAAGTGTAGAACAGCCCCAGGGTTGCTACACTTCAAAGGCATCAGAGTCCCCAGCTGACCCTGGGCTCCATGCAACGCTCCACATGGTGTTTCAAAGTGGCAGCGCCACGTAGAGCCCGGGATCAGTGAGGGAGCCCCCAGCTGACCCTGGGCTTCACCCGGTGCTTTTGCTTTGAAATGCTGCATGCAACCCCGGGTCAGCTGGAGATTCCAGAGTCTTGCCCCAGGTTCCATGTGGTGCTGCTGCTTTGAAGCACCCCTTTCTTTCCCTCTCTCCAGCCTCTTTTTGATAGAGGCAGCAAGAGGAGGGGAAGCGACTAGTGTGTCTACTAAGCGGGGATAGTTGACTAGTCGTTTATATCCCTCCTTCAGTCTGTTGCTTTAAGCTTTGTGGAGAAAGGGATTGTAGGAGATATCATATGTGGCCAGAGTGGCCACAAGTTCAGCTGAGAGGCCTCTGGAGGCCAATTATTTCAAAATAGCAGCAGCTGAGTGTCCATACTCAATGCTATTTCAAAACAATTTCAAAATAAGTGTTATTCCTCATGGAAAGCAGGAGTTATAACCAGTCCGTTATTTAAAAATGGAGTTATTTCAGAATAACTCCCTAGTGTAGACCAGGGCTGAGAGACTAGATTTAGGGTTTGTGTGGTTTTCGTTTTTGGTGGTGTGTATGGTGGGTTTTTTTGGTTTTTTGTTTTGTTTTTGTTTTTGTCTCTGCTTATACTGAATTTTGTGTTTTGTTCTTGGATAAAAGTATAGCTGGGAGATGCAATCGCTCTCTGTTTGTTTATAAATCGTGTTCTTTTTTTTTAGCTTAGTGTTTCACTTGGCACATTGGGAGCTATACCAGCGGCAGCATTGGACCCTAATATTACAGCACTTGGAGACATACCACAGCCACCAATTATGGGAAATGTGGATCCTTCCAAAATTGATGAAATTAGAAGAACAGTTTATGTTGGAAATCTGAATTCTCAGGTACCAACCTTTTTGTCACTTTTGAAATGTTAAAGGAAGATGTAGGCCCATGTCATTGTGATTTATAATCTTAAACAGTTTTGAAAAGACCCACATGTGTATAATGATTGCATCCTTCATTGTAAAAAAAGAACAAATAAAAAAAGATTTTTTTTGTGGTGTGAATGCTTTTGGGAAAAGGATGGGGAGGAAATATTATTTCACATATATCCGTCTATAGAGTTCACTACTGCAAAGAAACAAATACTACAGATTTTGTTTTATCACTGCGCTTAAATAACAATGTTCTGCATCAGAGTATAATAAACTGATCACATCAAGGATTATGAAGGAACTAGCAGCTCTACCCTGTGTTGCCCAGGTCGGTCAGTGCAGGGCCTTGGGGATGTGAGGGAGGTGAGCAGGAGGCTGAGGGCCAGGGGCCTCTTCTCCTCCCAGGCCACCTCTCAGTCCAACGTGGGCCTGTTCTTTTTCACACACCCTTTTTCCCCTCCTCCCCCCCGCTCGGCGCGCGCGCGCACACACACTTTTCCCTTCAGGCCACCCACTAGGGCCTATTCTTGCCTGCTGCCAAGAGATGGGGCGGGGGGAGAAGTTTGGGGCCAGGGGGCTACTGATTGGTTTACTGTCAGGCAAGATGACAGAGCCCCAGCCCTGCTAGCACTCCCTTGGTGGTATGGCTACCTCCAGTGGATACTCTGCAGGATAGCTCTCCTGCGAGCTCGCTGCCCCTGTGGCCATTCTCATATAGTGTCCCTTGGAATAGCAGCCCATCTCTTTGCATGTTATGAAAAACTATCCTTTTCTCAGAGCTTCCGGTTGTCTTGGCACAACCAACCCCTGACCTTGCTTTAGGTTAAGAGAAGAGGCAGCTACGTACCAAATTTGGTGGCCCTAGCTCATATTGTTTAGGAGGAAACCTGAGTTTGTTCAGGAATAAGTGCCTTGTGGAGAAGGAATTTACTTTTTTCTCAGGAATGAATAATTGGCCAGCACAAGAGGCTGGTCTTGGTAAACTAGTTGTATTATCTAGTATAGAGAATCATTCCTCTGTATCCATAGCAAAGGAAACAATGTCCTCTTCCTTAAATGGTGAGTTACTTATCTTAGAAGGTTATTTAAATAGTCAAGATTAAATAATGTGGCTTTTGTTTTATTTAACGAACTACACCTAAATAGAAAGCTGTTACTGTGATGAATACCAGTCTAAAACCCCGAATGGGTGAATATATAGAAACATAATTTTAAAATTCATTATTTTGATGCATTTTCAATCAGTATATGTAACACACATGAAATTATTCTATTTGAAATATAAAAAAATCCTTTTTTAACTGAGGATTTCAAATTAACTACCCTGAAAAATGCAGATTCATATGGAAATACATTTATAATTCACAGATATGATGAGTTCGGGCTTACAGTGATGTTTTTCTTCATTTCTACATGTAGGTAGAGAGGAGAAGGGGGGATAAGCATTTTCATCTCTCCTTTTCTTGATTATTTTAATTTGTTTGATTAACATACCTGTGTTAAAACGATTCATCCAGAAACATCTTTCTATTTTTTACCTTCTCAAAATATGACTGTATTAATGTTGTTTTAAATAGAAGTAGACTTTTTAGATTAGTGGAGGAAAAAAAATGTGATAGATACTCTCTTTCTAAAATGGTTGATTTCCAAATAACTCATTGTGGAAAGGAAAGAAACATGTAAAAGTTTTGCTTCACATTGCCTTTGCTTAATACAGGTGGGTTTTTTTTTGTTTTTTGTTTTTTAATAATCTCTGAAGTTCTTAGGTTATCTACTATGTTGGATAAGTGTTTTTTATTGCATATTTTACTTCAGCTAAGGTTTTTTACTCTTTCTAGACTACAACAGCAGACCAACTGCTTGAATTTTTTAAACAAGTTGGAGAAGTGAAGTTTGTGCGAATGGCAGGTGATGAGACACAACCAACACGGTTTGCTTTTGTGGAATTTGCAGACCAAAATTCTGTACCTCGTGCTCTTGCCTTTAATGGAGTTATGTTTGGAGACAGGCCACTCAAGTAAGAAACTAAACATAAAATATCCAAATTAATTGTGAACGTAAGATTTTTCAGGATCTTTATAAATATTTCTCATCTATGCAGGTCTGGTATACAAAGCAGTTTGCAATGCCTGTATTAGCAGCATGCTGCTTTCTGTAGCCTTTGACACCTTGTCACTTTACATTTTCAGGCGTGCAAGTGACTTCAGATAAGGATATAGTGTAGAACAGAGCAGCCAATATTAATATTTCGTCTCTGAGGATTAAATCCATTACCATGTAGGAGCCCTAAATGTGGTCCTTATGTGGTAAAAAAAAGTTTCAGGCTATAAATTTCACCTTTAATTTAAAAAAAGTTAAATGTCTTTGTATTTGAAAATATACTTGCATGCCACACAAATATGAACACCACCATGTGCATTACTGCGAGAGATGTGAGCGTATAAATGTGTAAACCGTTAACTGATAAGCCTAGGCTCCTGGGGAACTGGCTGCCATCCCTCCAGAGGCAGCAGTGTAGGACGGCAGAAGGGAGTGCGCATGGGGAGCTGGCTTAAAAGCTGGTTCTCAGTGTGTACCATCTCTCAGGAAGTCACCTGCTGCCCCATGCTATTGTGTCTGTAGCGTGGGGGTAGCAGCTGGCTCTCCAGGAGTGGTACATCCTGGCTCTCGGGGAGCTGGCTGTGGGTGCATATAATCAGGTAGCCGCTGAGTTTTTCAGTGGTTACATGTTTACACAATGCCTGCATTGTAACATCCCTAATGTTGTAATGCATTTGTTCATGGTAAAAAGTATTTTGGGCAATAAAAACTTGGTATGCTATATAAATGCATACTGATTATTGGTTGTTATAAGGAAAAAACTTAAACATACTAATTTTTGATATAGTGTAATGTATATCTTGATTTAAAAGAAAACAAGTAAAAAAAAGTGTTCATGAGCATAAATTTAAAGCTATGTTTGTTCTTTACTTTAGAATAAATCACTCCAATAATGCAATAGTGAAACCTCCTGAAATGACACCACAAGCTGCTGCTAAAGAACTGGAAGAAGTGATGAAGAGAGTAAGGGAAGCCCAGTCTTTCATATCTGCAGCTATTGAGCCTGGTAAGTCAATTATGTTTGCTAGTTAGGATGAAAAAAGTGTATCTCAACATGTGTATCTTGTTGACATGCATTTATAGAACATTTTCAGACAGAGAAAGGCCTCCCCTAAGATGAGCAATGTGTTTTGGTAATCAAAATTATTTTCTTATGAGACAAACCAAGTGGAATCCAGGTTACTTTTTATATTTGTTTTAAAGTATTTTATTTTCAAAGGTTTGCTCAAAGAATGGCATCAATAGCTTTAAAATTGTGAAGTTAATACTATTACAATATCCAATAATGGTTAACACTAGTACTTATTTATGTTTTAAGTTCTTTATGGACATTAAATCTTTCACTATCAATTTTTTGTCTTCTACGTATCATTAAATAAATTCCTAAATTCTAAAAAAGAAAAAATAGTTCAATTAAGATTGTTCATAGATCTTTGAAATGTTTCTTTATCCTTAACAAACCTAGACAGTGCATAATTATCTGCCCTGAACAAAGCTGGAAGAAAAAGACACTCTGAATTTCCTAGTTATTTCTTTAACACTTTAATTTTACTCATTTAGAACCTAAGATTCACTGCCCATCGAAGTCAGTGGGAAACATTTATGCTATGGTTTTGGATCATACCTTTACTTTCTCCAGAGTGTTGTGAAGATTAAGTAGTTAATATTTATACAGTGCTTTGAAAATATAAAATGCTTTAAGGGCTGAGTATTATTTGAATTTTTATGCAGGTTTTCAAAATTGCTACTCTGTGAATTTTGTCTATTCTCAGAAGTTGGTTTTTTTTTAGTAATTTAATTGAATAAGCCAAGAAGAGAACATGTTATAATCTTGTGCATTGTGGCAGCAACATAAATCCCATTCCTTACTCAGCTAGCTGTTTATAATTATCTGGTTTATGTGTACTGCTGCAGGATGGCTGCACTCAACGAGTATATGCAATGACTTTCTTGGATGTTTCTGAAGGATTTTTGCAAAGAAGGAAGATGTGCAGAGAGTAGGCCCATTGCACTATATGTGGTACATTCCACTTGTGCCATATTGTTAACTGGGATCTTTAAATGTTCTGAGCTTACACTGCAAAGTGGTTTTTTCCTCTCAGAGTCTGGAAAGACCAGTGAAAGAAAAGGCGGTCGATCTCGTTCCCATTCTCGATCAGAGTCCAGATCTAGTTCAAAATCCCGGTCTAGAAGGAAAAGATCACACTCAAAACGCAGGTAAGAATGCTTTCCATTCTGCACTAAGAGTTCACACTGCATTATTTCTTGATGGTAAGAGTTTATGAGATTGTCTTTGAGTTCTGAACTAAGAATCTCAGGGAGAGATATCTTGAACTGTCTGGTACTGTGACTGGACCAAAATAAGAACTTTCTGTGTTTCAACAGATTTTCATTCCCCAAAACCAGATTACCATAATAGAAAAGCTATTTTGAAGTTGTATTGAAAAAATATGGGACTAATTTCAGATAGCACAGACAAAGATAAGATGCTCACATTTCAATAGCTTGATTTTGTTAAATTTTGATAGCTCTAGATTTCAGAATGTGCTTTGCTAATGGACAGTGTTGTCAGATTTTTTTTCGTTGTTGTTGTTGTTATGGATTGTTTGATAACTTTAGCCAATATGATACTTCTAGCATCCCAAAATTATAAATGTTATTTAACAGACTCAATGTGAAAATGCACGTGAAACAAAAAAGCCCACCTATTGTACCTATTTTTTTCTTACTTAGCCCAACTCCAATTTTGGTCTGAGAATTTATTTTGATTTTTACTGTTTAAAATTTGATGAAGTTCTGTATTCCAGATTTTATGTTAACATGGAAGAAAAGTTGTCTGCATACTCTTAAAAAGTGAGTTGCAGCCTTTTTTTAAGCCCATAAATGAGATAAGGGTAAACTACTGTCATCTCAATTTTGTAAATGTCTCCTGGAATCAGAATTCCTGTTCTCTGAAACTTAGAATTTTCTGTCTCCATAACCATTTGGATAGTATCCACTATCTCAGATAACAAGAGTGAGAGAAATTTAGCATAGAAAGGAATGCAAAATAAGTTTTTAAGTCCAAGTTTCCTTAATATTGTATCAGCAGTTGTGCCATGTCCCTGAATGCCTTTTCCTGTGATATGGCAACTATCAGAACTCCATGGTGGACAGTGTAGGTGACCCATAGAGAGTCATCACATCCATCTACTACCAAAGAGAAGTGATTTGCTCAACTGCTAAAGGATTGGCTTTTAGTTTTGCAGCTTCTTCCAGTAGTTGTGACCAGAAAATGTTTTCGGTGCTGTTAATTTTTTTAACTGTCAGTTATTTTCTGAATGCTTCCTTGTTCCTTACCTATTTGGGACAGTCAGCACATAACTAGACAACTTTTTCTCTTTAGGAAAGCTTTATGTATGTCTCAGCTCAATTTTCAGATTCTTTTGTCTCTGGATAATTCAGTACTAATAAAGTTTTAACACCAAATTGTCATTTGCCTACTTTAATACCAGATACAGATAAAGCACTGAATCCAGTGCTTCGCTTAATAGTATAATTAATTTATTTTCCAGTCCGTTCTGGACACTTACTGAATTAAAGATCATTCTAATACTGCCAGAGAATCAACAGCATTTTCAGAATAAACCTCCCTCAGCCATTCCCAGCTTTTTAGTGTCTTAATCATCCCCTTATTTTCATCTCAAATTCATCAGTCACAGAGGCCTTATTCTAATTGAGCTGGATTTAGTTTCGCATGTAGTTGACAGATTATTCCATATTAACTTGTGAAGCACTGGTCTAGGCAAAACAACCCTTTGCCTTGGATACTTTCTTTTGTGGATGCATCCTGTGTTGTAGAACAACGGTGTTGCTGGGATTTTATGCACTTTTTTGTTCCTCAGGGTTTAGAGCAGTGGCGGGCACGATACAGCCCACAGGACAAATCAAGACAACCAAGACATTTGATCTGGCCTGTGGCCTGCTCTCCCGCGGCCCAGCCCCCTCCTCGTTTGAGACCTTGGGACGGGGAGATGGCATCAGGTCATTCGCTGTTCCAACTGTTGTGATCAGCAAATTGCAGTCCCCTGCCCTGAGGTTCCGATTGGCTCGGGTAGAGGAGCATGTGAATCTCCTCCCCTCACCAGGGGTACACAGCGCCTAGAAGGAGCTGTCATCTGTTCAAAATGGCTGGTGGTTTCATCCTGATTTTGGACAGAAAATTTCAAAATCTTGAAAATTCCTGTGGGACAAAAACATTTCCTGCCTACCTCTATAAGAAAGATTTCTGTAAGGGATGTGGTTTTTTTTCCCCAGAGTTAGAAGAAAAAAGGTTCAAACGGTAAATTGTAATGTATTGACAAAAATGTATCCCTGCATGTCATTTTCTTCACCATAAGTACATATTGAGGATATTTATGCAGAAATAAGTCACGTGTGCATCTACTTGAGTGTCTGCATGTTGAAATAAATCTGTATTTATTTCTGTGATTTGACATTCAGTAAATACATTCCAATATAGCATATGCAACACATACGTACTGAGAAAATATTTGTAAATGATGATATGGCATAAAGAATTTATCAACATGGATTTGTGATAGTCACATTAAACCCAAGTACTAAGTTCCAGATAGGTTGAGCATGTAATCCAAAATGAAGACTATTCAAACTTTTTATATCACACCATCATATGTTTCGGATCTACCATGTTTTATAGAGAAAGGTTTCTTAAAAGTATGTTAGTGCGAAGGCTGGAAAGCCAAACTAGATTCAATCTGTAGAGCCAAATTACTTTAATTACCATGAATCAATTGAACAGGACTTGGAGAGAAAGAAAAATGCAATTAATTTTTAGAAGATTGTAAAAATTAAGTGCCTTTTTTTTTCTAGCCCTAATGGTGCCATATGTAGGACCTTGAATGTGTTATTGGTCGAAGAGTGAATAATGCCTACCTTGTATTTCCTTTCCCTCCAAAAACTTAAAAAAACAACAAATAGTACTGTAGCTCCTTAGAGACAAAAAATGTTGATGGTGGTATGAGCTTTCGTGAGCACAACTCACTTCTTCAGATGAATGGAATCAGGGGTGTAGGGTGTAAATAAATAGAGAAGTAGAAGGGATAGGGAGGGAAACAAAAGGGAAAAAATAGTAAAAAAATATTGTCAATTAGCGTGTTCATGCTAAATGAAGCTAATAGAGTGGGCTCTAAGTACCAGTTGTTTAGCTTTTTATATCATATGGGTGTAGAATGTAGAAGCCCCCATCCAGGTCAGGTCTTTGTTCAAACCTTGATTACAGGTGTCAAACTTGTACTGTAAATAAAACCAAGTTCGGCAGTTTCTCTCTCCAGCTGGTTTGTGAAATTGCTTTGTAATAATATAGGCACTTTTAGATCTATTAGTGGGTGCCTGGGCAAGTTAAAGTGTTCTCCAGCAGGTTTCTTTGTGTTACCATTTCAAATATCTGAGTTTTGTCCTTTAATCCTTTGTCGTAGAGACTGTCCAGTTTGGTCAGTATACATGGCAGAGGGGCATTGCTGGCACTTGATGGCATAGATCACATTGGTGGTTGTGCAGTTGTATGAGCCTCTGGTGTGATGGCTCATGTGGTTAGGTCCTATGATGACGTTGCTTGTATGTGTGGACAGAGTTGGCACCGGAGTTGATTACAGATATGGGTTCCAGGGTGAGTATGATGGAGATGTGCTGCATGGTTGATGGAAAGAATTCGTTTCAGGTTAGGGGGTTCTCTGTAGGCGAGGATTGGCCTGTCCCCCAAAGCCTGTGAGAGTGAGGGATCACTTTCCAGGATAGGCTGTAGATTGTTAATGATGCACTGGAGAGGTTTAAGTTGAGGGCTGTAGGTGTTCTGTTGTTTTGTTTGTTGGGCCTATCTTGAAGAATCTGATGCCTGGGTACTCGTCTGGCTCTGGCAATCTGTTTTTTCACTTCCCCAGGTGGGTGTTTAAGTTTTAAGAATGCCTGATAGATATCCTGTTGGTGTTTGTCTCTGTCTGTGGGATTGGAGCAAATCCAGTTGTATCTTAGGGCCTGTCTGTAAACAGTTGATTGGGAAATGTGTCTTGGATGGAAGCTAGAGGCATGTAGGTACGTGTAACGATCGGCATGTTTCCACTATAAGGTGGTGGAAATATGGTTGTCGTTTAATTGTACTGTAGTGTCAAGGAAGTGGATCTCTTGTGTGGACTGGTCTAGGCTAAGGTTGATTGTGGGGTGAAAGTTGTTGAAATCCCTGTGGAATTCTTCCAGGGTTTTCTGGGTCCATATGATGAAGATGTTACCCCAATATGAAAATGGGCAGATTTAAAACATGCATGCACACCCCAGTCAGTGATTAGAAGTGTTCAGTAATCCAAGGTGAAGGTGGAGAAAGTATAGTAGTTGGAAATGTCAAACACAAGAGAAGAAAGGAATGATAGAGGAGCGAAGGAAGAAGACAAAATAAGAGAGAGAGGAATTGAATTGAGAGAAAAAAGAAGTTAAATATTTACCCAACATAGAAAAGTTATATTGAAAAAGACAAAATATAAGAATCACAGTGCTATAAAGGGGAAAATGAAGTTAAGAAAGTTAAAAAAAGGAAAGAACAAATGCAAGGGAGAAAAAAATACCTAATATATACTGTTCACGCAAAATGATACAGTTGTGTTGAAAGGGATGGGAATCTTAAATGAATGGGGATAGAAATTCACCTTGAATCAATTCTACCTTGCTATCTCTTCTCTCCTGATCTTTATATTGAATAACATTCTTTGTGTTATATTTTTGCACCCCTTTTTTTCTGTAGTTCTAGTTATACAGAAGGGACTACATCCAGTTCTGATGTTTCTTTTAAAAAAAAATATGAAAAAAATTGGAAAGGCTTTGGAAAAGAAAAATGGTTTGAGGTTTGGAAAACCTGCATTGCACTAGGAGACTTAAAATGATCAATCTAAATCGATTATTTAAGAGAAGGTTAAGTGGTGATTGATCATGGTACCTTTTAATTGGAATTGCTTAAGAATCTAGTTAGGGTCCTACCAAATTCCTGGTCCATTTTGGTCATAGGATTTTAAGCATAATAAATTTCATGATTTCAGCTATTTAAATCTGAAATTTCATGATGGTGTAATTGTAGGGGTCCTAACTGAAAAGGAGGTTGTGGGAAAGAGCTTGCAAAGGTATTTGTAGGGGGTTTGTGGTATTGTTACCCTTAGGCTATGTCTAGACTACACTGAAGTTTCGAAAGAGGATATGCAAATTCCACGGAATTTTTGCATATCTTTTTCTGATCTTACTTTCAAAAGCAGAGCTTTCAAAAGTGAAAGTAATTGGGACGTGGGTTTTTCGGCAGCCTTCCCCATTTTTCGAAAAGAAGTGTAAACCTCATTTTTTGAGGAAGAGCAGCTTTTCGAAAAAGGGGAGGAGTTGCAGAAAACTATTTCTTGGAGAATTTGCATATCCTCTTTCGAAACTTCTGGGTAGTCTAGATGAGCCCTTATTGCTGCACTGCTGCTGGAGGCAGCACTGCCTTCAGAGCTGGAGAGGGATCCCAACTTTTGAAGGTAGAATTACAACCTGCATAGTACAAGTATGGTATTTCCACCCTTATTTCTACAATGCTGCCTGCAGAGCTGGGCCCTCAAATCAGCAGCCGCTGCTCTCAAGTTGCCCAGGCTGAAGTAAGGGTGACAATACCACAATCTCCCTAAAATAACCTTGCAACCCACCTGCAGTTCCCAATTTGAGAAATGCTGGTCTCTCCTGTGAAATCTATCAAGTTGTATGATTTTGCCCTGTTTCATGGTGAGTGACCAGTTTTTTCTGGGTATAAAAAATGCAATAATTAAGATTGCCTGTCCACACGTTGTTTGACGATGGCAAAAAGAAATGTTGAACAGTTGAGTTATTCACTGTTCAGTCTTTTCCCTGCACTAAGACTTTCCAAAAAAACCCCAAAACAAATCATACTAATCTTACCATTAAAACTACATCATAATGTGTATGCACAATCTCATTTTTGACATTTCATAATTTCAGTGACTGTCTTTAAATAAGTGGCTTAGTTGAATGCTTAGAAAGGATAACATGATATGTATTGTATATAGTAGGAATGACAATGACCATGGAGAAAAGGCGGTTTAAAGAAGAAAGCCTAAATTAATTTTTCAGAATTCTCCAAAACATTGAAAAATAGTTCCCTGTAATATATATGCCATATACAGAATAGATAGTGGTATTGTATAGTACAGTATACAATTACTGTTGGCTTTATGTGTTGAACAGCATAAATTTCTTGTGACTTTGCCACTCCTGAGTAGTGCATTCATTCCAATATCTTTGATAAACTTCTATGAATTCTCTGTATGTGCAATGTGTATATATATATATTTCTAGTGCCCTCTACGTACATTGAAATAGAACCATAGAGCTGGAAGAGACCTTAGAAGGTCGTTAAGTCCAGCCCCCTGTCCCAGGCAAGACCAATCCCAACTAAATCAACCCAGCCAGGGCTTTGTCAAGCCGAGACTTAAAAATCTCTAGGGATAGAGGCTCCACTACTTTCCTAGGTAACACATTCCAGTGCTTTACCACCCTCCTAGTGAAATAGTTTTTCCTAATATCCAATCTGGACCTCTCCTGCTACAACTTGAGACCATTGTTCCTTGTTCTGCCATCTGTCACTACTTAGAACAGCCTTTCTCCAGCCTCTTTGGAACCTCCCTTCAGGAAGTTGAAGGCTGCTGTCAAATCCCCCTTCACTCTTTTCTCTTCTACAGACTAAACAGACCCAACGCCCTCAGTCTCTCCTTGTAGGCCATATGCTCCAGCCCCCTAATCGTTTTGGTTGCCCTCCAGTGCGTCCACATCCTTTTTGTAGTGGGGGGGCTCAGAACCGGACACAATACTCCAGATGTGGCCTCACCACAGCCGAATAAAGGGGAATAATCACATATCTGGATCTGCTGGCAATGCTCCTCTTAATGCAGCCTAATATGCCATTAGCCTTCTTGGCTACAAGGGCACACTGTTGACTCATATCCAGCTTCTCATCCACTGTAACCCCCAGGTCCTTTTCTGCAAAACTACTACTTAGCCAGTCGGTCCCCAGCCTGTAACAATGCTTGGGATTCTTCCGTCCCAAGTGCAGGACTCTGCACTTGTCCTTGTTGAACCTCATCTCATTTCTTGTGGCCCGATCCTCCAATTTGTCTAAGTCAATCTGGACTTTCTGCCTTCAAGTGTATCTACCTTCGCCCCGAGCTTAGTGTCATCAGCAAACTTGCTGAGGTGCAATCCATCCCCTCATCCACGTCATGAATAAAGATGTTGAACAAAACTGGTCTTAGAATCGAACCTTGGGGCACTCTGCTAGAAAAAGACTGCCATCCTGACATCGAGCCGTTGATCACTACCTGCTGGGCCTGGCCTTCTAGACAGCTTTCTATCCATCTTACTGTCCATTTATCCAATCCACATTCCCTTAACTTGCTGGCAAGAATATTGTGGGAGACCATATCAAAAGCCTTGCTAAAGTTGAGGTATATCACTTCCACTGACCTTTCCAGTGTCTACAGAGCCAGTTACCTCATCATAGAAGCTAATCAGATTGGTCAGGCACGACTTGCCCTTTGTGAATCCATGCTGACTATTCCTGATCACTTTCCCCTCTTCTAAGTGCCTCAAAATGGATTCCTTAAGGATCCCTTCCTTGATTTTTCCAGGGACTGCTGAGGTAAGATTGACTGGCCTATAGTTCCCTGGATCATCCTTCTTCCCTTTCTTAAAGATGGGCACTACATTTGCCTTTTTCCAGTCATCCGGGATCTCTCCCAATCTCCATGGCTTTTCAAAGGTAATGGGCAAAGCCTCCTCAATGATATTTGCCAACTCCCTCAGTACCCTCGGATGCATTAAGTCCAGACCCATGGATTTATGTACGCTTAGCTTTTCTAAATCATTCCTAACCTGTTCTTTACCCACCAAGGGCTGTCTATCTTCATCCCATCTTGCGTCACTTAGCGCATTAGTCTGGGAGCTGACCTTGTCGGTGAATATAGAGGCAAAGAAAGCATTGAGTACTTCAGCTTTCCCCACAACATCTGTCACTAGGTTACCTCCTTCATCCAGTAGGGGTCCCACACCCTCTCTGATCACCTTCTTCTTGCTAACATGCCTGTAGAAATCTTTCTTGTTATCCTTCACATCCTTTGCCAGTCGCAATTCCAATTGCGCTTTTGCCTTTCTGATAAGGTAGATAAGGTAAATAAACACAGGTAGAACTATGCGTATATGAACCTCAAATAGCACATTTAAAGCTATGTTCATTTCGATATACAATTATAGTCTCTGATCTTTCAATCAACTAGCACCATCCTTAAAAAAGAGAGAGAAAAGAAATGCAAGAGAAAACATTAATACAATGTTACATTTAATAATTAAAACACAGGATGAGGATGATCCAAAATCTTGGCTCCTATAACATTGCAACTGAGCCAGATTGTGTAAATAAAAAAGTATAGAATTAACAGTAATATATGGTAAAATTAGATTATTATAAAAGGATACTTACAATAAAATTCAAATAGCACAATCGCATTTTTACCACAGGAGTAAATAAATACATTAACTGAGCAACCATAGTTCTGTATTGCATGCCAATAACATGAACTGATTAGTGCAGATTTAATTTTGTATTCGTTCACACCTCATTGGTATAATAACTTCATGGTTTCGTATTTCGCAGTATGTTCAAAGAGGCTAAGTTGTTTGATTCATAACTGTTTTACTGACGACTCTATATGTTATTCTTTGATATGACTTTGCAGGAAGATTTTTTTTAATGGTATATTTTGAAAGAGGTGGGAGAGTCTGATCAAATTTTAAATGTGGAGAACTGTGAAAATGTTTACTGTGGACTAGTATAATAATTAGATAAAATATTGTGTATTTAATTTCCATGATTTATGTATTTTTCAGTTTCTTTCCTAAAGTCTCAAAGTTAAATGTATTTATTCTCTGATATTGTTGCTGCAGGAGTAGATCACACAATAGATCACTCTCTAGTCAGAAGGATAGGCGTAGATCCAAAAGTCCTCCCAGAAAACGTTCCAAGTCAAAGGAAAGGCGAAAGTCAAAAAGTCGTTCTCGTTCCCGGTGAGCTTTCTTTGCTAACAGTTGATGTTACAGTTTTTATTATCTAGTTCATAGCTTTTGGGAAAGCTTTATAAAATGTAGACTGCAAGTGAAAAATGAATTTGCTAAGCTAATCTCTAAACTATTCTGTCTTGAATTTATTTTTTGATATTTCTATTTTAATAATTTTCTGACTATCAATTTCAGGGCTGTAGATATGTGATGCTTGTATGGTCTTTGAAATGTTTATTTCCTCAAGAAGAAAACAACACAAAATAGATACTATGTTTAAAATTTTCAAACTGAGGTCCCTAAAACTTAGATACTGAGCTACCTCAACTTCTACTGAAGTCAATGGTCACTACAATTGAGCATCATTGAAGTAAGGAAATTTTTAGTTAAATGCCAAACTTTAGTCAACCATGTTTGAAAATTTTACTCTACATGACAAATTCAGCCAATGTGTAAGTAGATGCAAACTATTACTGTTGTACCATCTTAAATTAGGATTATATTTGGATGCAAATCAGCATATATTCATAACATGACATCCTGTGTAAGGAGGGGGCGTGTTTAGCGCTGTCTTTTTTTCTAGTTATTTCAGGTTGGTTGCTTTCCCTCCTATAAGCAAACTATACATCTTTGTACTGCAAAGTGTTAACTTGCTGCCGGCCTAATCCAAATCCACTTGTTAATTTTTATTCCTCTTGACTGTCTGGTTTGGCCAACTATAAGATTCCATCAGGCTAATTCTTCATCTTTTGAATAATAGAATATTTCTCATACACAGGCAATCCATCACTCTTGGTTGTGCTATGGAATATCCATATCCACAGGTGCTCATGAAGGCAGCTTACTGGAAGAAGTTTTGGCGCCAAAATTGTCTTTTGTGTTCTGCCTCCATCTGGAAGAAGCTCTCCTGTATACTCTACCTTGTGCATTTAGGGGAGCTTCTGATTTGTATGTAATTTGACCTCTTCTTCTCTCCCCATGACACAGACTCCTCTAGCATGTCACCTTACTAGATCAGGTTGGGCCTGATCTATTGATGACTAGCTCCTTCTGGCCACAAGTTTTGTTGTGACATGCTCCTTATTGGTTCAGCCCCTCTAGATCGTATGTCTCATTGGTGGGAGCAGTCTTCACAGGCTCCCCTTAAATGATGTTCCCACTAGACTGTTTGGTTACTGGGTCTTGATCATCTGAAGGCTTGTGTGGAAAAAGCTTTGACCAAACACTGGTTCTGATGGAGAAAGGTAGGCATTATGGGGCATATGGCTGGAGTTTGTCTGAAGGGAGCCCTACCCACACCTGTGAGCCGTTTAGAGTAAGTCCCCTCTTGGTAGCCTGTTTTAGAAACCATTTTGTAGTCAACCTGGACAAGTTTTAACTGCTATTGTAGAACTTGAGAGGATGAATCTGTGGGAACTTGTTACTCCAAGCAAATACTGGGCGTATTCCTCCAGTCCAGGAGGAATTTTATGCATCAGGCCTAGTACTATGACTTAGGTCCCTCTATACTTACCCACGGATCGATGTTCTGGAGGTCGATCTTCTGGATTTCAATTTAGCAAGTCTAGTAAGGACCCACTAACTCAGTTAAATCGTATGCTGACAGCATCTGCAGCATCTGCATCTACACCGATACTCCTCTTCCTCATGAGGAGTAAGGGAAGTTGATGGGAAAATTTCTCCTGTTGACCTCCACTCGGTGGGGACAGCACAAAAGTTCAAATCAAGGTACAAAGCCACACAATTATTGTAGCTGGAGTAGCGTATCTTAATTCAGACTTATCCCTTAGAGTAGACCTGGCCTGATTTGTCTTCAAAAATTGATGTGTTGAACATAGCGTTGGCTCATATTCAGTATAGGGATGTTAAATTTTGATTAATTAACTAAGTGAATAGTTGATGGGATTCTCATCGACTACTTGATTAGTCAGTAAGGACTAGTGTGGCGTTCTGCCTTTAAAATGTACAAAGAGTTCCAGGAGGGACTCGTGTACATTTAAAAGTTGGAATGCCGCTACTGCATCCCTGCCCATCCGCACGGAGCTGGAGGGAACTGGCTTTTTAGCTGGCTCCCCCCAGCACCTCTCCCTCCCCCACTTGCTGCCTCTTTCTGATAGAGGCAGCATGGGAGTGCAAGTGACTAGTCGACTAGTGTGTCAACTATAAAGCTTTTGCTTATTGGATAGTCGACTAGTTGATTAGTTGCTTACATCCCTAATTCATTAACTGTTAAAAGTGATAGATTAAGTAAAGGTCTAATCCTCAGCCTCTTACATGTTCATATGACTGCATTATGAGTCATCTCCTTCTCAGCTCTGAAAAGAGAGCTTGTATTCAGATGTTCATATTTTCAGGTTCACCAAGGGAGTAGCAAAATGTCATTCTCCAATCAAAGCTTGTGTGGCTGGGGGAAGCTGAATTTTTTTTAATTGACCTAAAAGAGCAGGCCTTGGAACCAGTGAGTGCTTCCTCAGTTTCTTTTCTGTCTTGGATCTGTCCCAATTCTTTTCATTCTAGGGAAGCTAAATGACATCACCTAAAGTCTATCAAACCATTAAATATTAATTGGACAGAGTAAACTCATTCTGGAAAAAGACCATTCTGGCAAAAATGGCCTTATAACTCCAAAGTAACCATCTGGTGGTGGCTACAAGTAATAAATATCTTACACAAAAGGGGTAAAATCCTTCAATCTTTTATAAGAGGTCATTCTACAACATCTATATCTACTCCTCATGTACACTGAAATAGTTTATTATGAAGAAATGTGCAAAGTAGCACTTTGGGCATCTGTCCACTCTCACAAAATATTGCCATGTGGATATTCCATCTTCCTCAGGAGATAGCATTTAGTCATGAGGCTCTACAGTGTGCCATCCTTCCATGATCCGTATGTTTCTGTTTTCTTTCTCCCGTTTTGGGTAGCTTGCAAACTCCTTATAGCTTAAACCAGACTGATGAATTGCCTCTCTGAAAATAAGATAATGTTCATTTTATGATGATGGATTCCCTGTTACAAGAAAACATATATTTAAAAGCCAAGTTTAAAAAAATCTAATTGCCCACAGTTGGGTTCCTTTAAATGTCCATAGGTTATAGACTGCACTTATCCATAGTCTGTTCCTATGGTATAATGTCATCTATTTGAAGATTAATTGATTTTCTTTCTTTCTTTCACCTCTTCCTTCAGCTGCTGCAGGGGCAAAAAGAGCTAGATTGTTAGGAATGAGGTGTGTGGGAAATTTACATTTTGCATAGTTGTGGTGATTTGTGAAGGAGAGTTACAAGTTTTATTGAGCATTTATTAGAAGGGTAAAGAAGTGAATTCAGCTTTTTGTTATGGTCATTTCATTGACAGTTAAATGTTTCTTTTTTTAGGGACAAGAAAAAAGACAAAGAAAACAAAGAAAAGACCAAGGAAAAAGAAAAGGTCAAAGAGAAGGACAGGGATAGGGACAGGGAGAAGGAAAAGGAGAGAAATAAAGACAAAGAAAAGGAGAGGGAGAGGGACAAAGACAAAGAGAGAAACAGAGACAAGGATAGGGACAGAGACAAAGAAAAAGACCGGGACAAGGACCGAGACAAAGAAAAGGAGAGGAACAAGGACCGGGAGAGAGTCAAGGATCGGGAAAAGGACAAAGAGAAGGAGGTAGTCCGTGACAAGAAGGATACAGAGTTGGAGGGAGAAAGGGACAAGGAAAAGGATCGGGAGAAAGACGGGGACAAGGAGAAGGTTAAGGAGAAGGACAGGGAGAAAGACAGAGAAAAGAAGGAGAGTGACAAGGAGAAGGACAAAGACAAGGAAGGAGACAAAGACAAGGAACGGGAAAGAGAAAAAGAGAGGTCCAAAGAGAGTGATGATAAAAAGAAAAAAGAGAAGAGATCCAGAACACCTCCCAGAAGTTACAGTTCTCTCAGAAGATCTCGAAGTTCCAGCAGGTTAGACTGGTCAATAATTTTGCTATGCTATCTTAACCTGTCAGTACAGTGAAAGATAACACATAACCTGCTAAATCCTTAATACCATGATCAGTATTGCAATGTCATTTATTATTAAGATAGAATTTAATTTTTGACACTTGAATTTTTTGTGACACTCTTCTCTCTCAATTTATTCTGGGGAGGAAACCTTGAAGATTGAAGCTGTCCTACTCTTGTTTCTATTCAGAAATTATTACATATTTTATTGAAATTCCAGGGCAAGCAGCATTTATTGTATTTAGCTTTATGATTTGAATACTGAGCAGGAAGACTGGTTTTTTTTTTCTGTTCTATGCGAAATTAACATAGAAAGGATTGACAAAAGTTCATATCAGTTATAGTCTCTAACTCTGGTTCTTCAGATAATTATGCAGTATCCTCTCTCAGAACAAGAGCTCTTTTTTGAGGTGTTGCCTGCTTCAAGCCACACTCTTGGGATGCACTTATATTGTACAGTGGACTTATTCAGAAAACTTTGGCTATAAGTAGGGATATAAGTGACTAATTGACTAGTCACTCCCCCTCTAGTGTCCTCTCTGTCAGTTGGTGCTGGGGGGCAGCCAGCTTAAAAGCTGGTTCCTCCCAACACCATCTCTAAGTGATCTTGGGTATAAAAAGGTTGGAGACCACTGCTATAAAGGGTGCTGCCACTACCCCCGAAGCTTAAAAATATATAGCAGAAATAGGGCCTGAAAGCTTTCTTATCTGTACTGTTTTTAGTAGTGAATTTATTGTATGGTTCTCTTAGCATTCAGTTAGAAATGCTTAGTCCCACATGGGTCTCAGCCTTGGGATAGGGAAGTCAGCTACAATGGAATGGACACGAGCAAGCACTTGAAGAATTGTTTTGTAACTGTTGTTCTTTGAGATGTTGCTCATGAACTATCCTCCTTCCTCTCTGTCTGAGTTCTGGCAAGAAGGAACTGAGGGAGTGTGGAGCTGGCAGCACTTCTTATATCAGTGTCTATATGCACCCCTCCAAAGGGTGCCGGAGCTGGTAACAGTCTTATCTTGTGTGCTATGTATAACATTCCTGTCAATACTCCCCAGAATATTAATCTTTTTATGGCTCATTCAATTTGTAATGCACATTAACCTCCAGATTCTTTTCTGTAGTACCACTGCCTAGCCAGTTATTCCCGTTTCTATTTGTGCACTTGATTTTTTCCTCCTTAAGTGTTGTACTTTGCACTTGTCTTTTTTTAGCTTCATCTTGCTAAATTGGAAAACTGATCTAAAATCATCACTCCTGTTCTCCAGAATGCTTGCAACCCTTCCCTGCTTAATGTCATCCACATATTTTATATGTATACTGTCCATTCCATTATCTAAGTCACTAATGAAAATATTGAGTAGTACTAGATCTAGGATAGACCATCTAGTTTAACAGCATATAACTTTCCTGCATATGGTCTTTCATACCAATTATGAATTTACCTTATAGTAATTTCATCTAGACCAGTGGTTCCCAGCCACCAGGCAGTGGCAGCTCTGGAATCCAGATCTGGGGTACACCACTCTTGCTGCGGCTGTTGGAAGAGGCATGTCCTGCCCCACCTCTCAGTCAACCAGCACTGGGCAGAGGTGGGGTCTCCTTTCAGCCACAGAAGAGTGCTTCCCTGCATGGCTGGAGTGCCCCACATGGCCCTCCTGCCACAGAGGGAAAAGCTCTTCTGCGACCAGGAGGAAACACCATACTGCACAGCCCTTGCCCAGCACAGGGAAGCACTCTTCTATGGCTGGAGGAGACCCCCCCCCCCCACCACCACCTGC